GCAGTGGGAATTTTCAGGCCTTGGTTAATGAGGCAGACTGAACCAACAATACTTGAGTTGTTCCAGCAAACGCTGCCACAGCACTTTCTTCTGCAGTAATTACCTTTTATCTTCTTAGGTGTTCTGCTCTTGAAACTCAATGCTGCAATTTGGAATTCCAACCGCAATGCACAAGTGATTTCTTTACAAATGAAATGCTTTTGGGTGAACTATTTTAGGGGGGTTCTTTGTGGAAGCAGTTCACTGAAACCCATTTGTTTATTCAGAGTTGTACTGTCAGCTACTCTGGGCCAATTATTTCAGTTTGTGCAAGGTCGCTTTCTGAGTTCAGTCTTACATAGGTCAGTTAACTTTATCTGGAGATAAACTATCTGATGGATTGATTCTTTGCCTATCACCCCACAGAACAGCCAGTCTAAGTGTTTTTTTTTTTGTTTTTTTTTTAATTTTTGACAGGCAGAGTGGACAGTGAGAGAGAGACAGAGAGGTCTTCCTTTTGCCATTGGTTCATCCTCCAATGGCCACCGCGGCCAGCGCGCTGCGGCCGGCGCACCGCACTGATCCAATGGCAGGAGCCAGGTGCTTCTCCTGGTCTCCCATGCGGGTTCAGGGCCCAAGTACTTGGGCCATCCTCTACTGCACTCCTGGGCCATAGCAGAGAGCTGGCCTGGAAGAGGGGCAACCGGGACAGAATCCGGCGCCCCGACCGGGACTAGAACCCAGTGTGCTGGCGCCACAGGTGGAGGATTAGCCTAGTGAGCCATGGCGTGGGCCTAGGCAAAGTTTGTATTCACTCATTCAGCTGGCAATGGATGCTGAGGATTCAGAGCTGAATGTGTGATCTCTGACAGAACTGTAAGGTCTGAGGTTCTGCCTTGGTGAGTTTATAGATCTAGATCCTAACTCTGAGCCTGCTACCTATTAGCATCTGGGAAAGGGGCACATGAACTGAAATTTGAAGTTACGTAGGAAATTTTGCTGTAAGAAGGCGTTGCCAAGGAAATAGTCTATGCATTGGCTTAGTGATGAGAATTATTCATGATAGCAAGACACATTTACTGCACAATCTCTAGTACCATGCAGACATCATATGAAGTGAAGACTGTTCCCACTTTGCAGATGAGAAGATTGAGGTATAGAAAGTTTCATCATTGGCCCAGTGAGAGAGAACTCTGCAATCAACTAAACAGTGACTATGTTTGTTATTTAATTAGTGGAGGAATGAATGATAAATATGGACTGGCAGGTGGCAAAGCATAGTCTTAAAAATTATTCTGCCACCAGGATCCATGCCCTTAATTTTCCTGAGAACTCCAAGGTTCAAGGGACAGGTGCACTGCTTCGCGTGGCTTTGTGATGTGTGATCCATGAACTTGACAAATGTTAATGTTCCTGAAGATTCTTTGCATGTTGAGTTTTAGAGTCTGTAATTTCTCTCCTGGAAAATGATAAAACATAATGTTAGGCATTCTTGTGTATGCTCTTTGCCCTGCATCTGGGCTGCAAGTTCACTGAAGACAGGCCCTTATGTGATTTCCCTAGGGCCTGGCACTGACTGAGGAGATCAGGGGCTGAGTGAGTTGTGTTGACTACTGAATCCTCGGGGCCTTGTGCAGGGCTGAGCGCACAGGAGTTACTCTGTAAATGTTCCTTGAATAAATGAGTACTGTGTTTATTTAATGAAAGGTTGGAGAGATAATGAATTTGGCCTGGGTCAACAATGAATCTTGATCATTCAGATGGTGCGCACATAATTTTATTTAAATTACTTAAGTGTTTAAGACAAAAGCAAGGTTTATTGGTCTCCACTCCTTCTCCTGTCCTGGTCCACCATCCTGACCACAAACTCACACCATTCTGATAGTAACCCAGTCCTGGGAGGAATTCTGAACTCTGGGACAGCTTTGCTTGGCCCTGTACTCTAAGGATGTGTGACCTAGGTCACTTTATTCTGGCCTGCTTAAAAGAAGTTCATGTTACAGTACCATTTTTATGAACAAATCAACTGCACATCATAGTTTCCTTCTAATTCTTCCAAGCAAATACCAAATAACTAATTTCTCTCTTCACTTCCACTTACACCAAGATCCCCAGGTCAGAACAGAAAAGCTTCTGTGACTTAGAAGTGAGTTCTGTCTTTGCTGTAGGCCCACTCTGTCCAGCTCTTTACCTGCCATCTACATCTGGTTACTCAACACTCTGCTGTGGTTACTCTGAATTGAGATGTGTTGTAGGGGTGAAAAATACCAGACTTCAAAGACACAGCAGTAAATGATGGTGAAATATTTCATAATCATTGGTGTAATGGATACATGTTGAAATACTTTGGGCATGTTGGGTTAATTAAAATATATTGTAATTAATTTCATCCATTTAATGCTTTAGAATGTGGCTAACTAGAAAATTTAAAGTTACACACGTGTGGACTAGCAGTTAAGTCCTCACGTGGGGCCCTTGCATGCCATTTTGCAGTGTGGGTTTCCCAGTTTCCTGCTAATGCGCACCCTGGGAAGCAGCCTATGATGGCTCAAGTGCTTGGATCCCTGCCACCCACATGGGAGATTTTTACTGAATTTCAGATTCCTGGCTTTGGCCTGCCCAGTCATGGCTGTCAAAGGGACTTCGGGGGAATGAACCAGCAGTCAGAAAATCAATGTCTGTCTGTCTCTGTCTCTCTCTCTCTCCTCCTCTCCCTTTTCCCACCTCCCCTCTCCTTCCCTCTCTCTCTCTTTCTCTCTCTCTCTCTCTGACTTTCAAATAAATAAATACTTTGAAAATTACACACCTTCAACATTGGTACTCTCGAGGTGACAAATATGAATCTGATAAATACATAATCATTTTTATCTGCCCTGACTCCACTCTTCCCCAGTTTTCTCAACATTGCAAAAATCAATGAAAGTACACCAAGCACCATCTGTGTCCATTATCAGATGCTCTGCTTTGTTTCCTTTCTTGACTGAATCCAAACTCAAGCTGTGCTTGAGTCTCCCATAGCTTTAAAATGTATTTCCTATTTGTATTGACTAATGGTAAAAATCCATTTAATTTTATATAGAAGCCCATAATATTTAATTGAAAGATAAAACTGTATGCATGCATTGTGGACAACCTGGTGTTCTGGGGTATCTATCCTTACACTGCAGAGTGGTTAAATCTAGCTAATTTATAAATGTATAACTTGATGTAGTTATCATTTTTGTGGTGAGAACCTTTAATATCCACTTTGCGTTTTTCAGGAATACAATGTGCCATCATTAACTTAGTCATCAAGCTGTGTAAGTTTCAAGACATTGTGTACCCCAGTATTTCTTTATCTTCATTTTTCACAAAATTCTTAAAGTAACCATGTATAAATTTTTTTTTAAATTTATATAATTTTGGCCGGCGCTGCGGCTCAACAGGCTAGTCCTCCGCCTTGCGGCGCCGGCACACCGGGTTCTAGTCCCGGTCGGGGCGCCGGTTCTGTCCTGGTGCCCCTCTTCCAGGCCAGCTCTCTGCTGTGGCCAGGGAGTGCAGTGGAGGATGGCCCAAGTGCTTGGGCCCTGCACCCCATGGGAGACCAGGAGAAGCACCTGGCTCCTGCCATCGGATCAGCGTGGTGCGCCGGCCGCAGCGCGCCAGCCTGGGCAGCCATTGGAGGGTGAACCAACGGCAAAAGGAAGACCTTTCTCTCTGTCTCTCTCTCTCACTGTCCACTCTGCCTGTCCAAAAAAAAAAAAAAATTTATATAATTTTTAAATATAAATCAGAAGTACTGAATGCAAGTCTGACAGTATCTTTTGTATACTTTATGCATTCATTCATTTAGGAAGCTCTCAAGTGAGTGCCTACTTAGCAAGGTATGTCAGACTACTTCATATATTTTTTTTTGGAGAGGCAGACAGTGAGAGAGAGATAAAGGTCTTCCTTTTCCGTTGGTTCACCCCCAAAATGGCCACTACGGCCAGCATGCTGAGCTGATCCAAAGCCAGGAGCTTCCTCCTGGTCTCCCATGGGGTGCAGGGCCCAAGCACTTGGGCCATCCTCCACTGCCTTCCCGGGCCACAGCAGAGAGCTGGCCTGGAAGAGGGGCAACCGGGAAAGAATCCGGCGCCCCAGCCGGGACTAGAACCTGGGGTGCCGGCACTGCAGGTGGAGGATTAGCCAAGTGAGCCGCAGTGCAGGCCGTCAAACTACTTTAAAGACCAGTGCAATGGTTTGTTTGCTGTCAGATGTTTAACAACCATCTCTTTATTTTTAAAATGTATTGTTTTTTATTTGAAAGGCAGAGAGAGAGAGATCTTCTATCCACTGAATTATTCCCCAAATGCTAAAATACCCATAACAGCTAGCACTGGACCAAGCCAAAGCCACAAGCCTGGAACCCAATCCAGGTCTCCCAGTCAGCATCACCAGCTGATTCCCAGGGTGCGCATTAGCAGGAAGCTGGAATTGCAAGTGGAGGGAAAACTGGAACCCAGGCATTCGAACATGGAACGTCAGCATATGAAGAGTTGCCGTAATAGCTGCTCCAGAGGCCTGCCACTGTGGCCACACACAGAACCTGTTTTGTAGCTTTGTAGCAGTTCCCAGTGGTCTCCAAACAGTCCTGCATCGGCTTGTATCAGTTTCTACTGTTCTGATAGAGACATCACTGCATGTGTATTTGGGGAGAAATGTGTGGCAGCACCTGTTAAATGTGATTTCCATCAGACAGATATCACAGATCTAACTAGCTTCTAATGCAAGCTAAAAGCAAAATGTGGTCCCATCATCGGGAGGCAATGAATTTGAGTATTAAAAATGTACAACCTTTGTTTTTAATTCAATTTAGCTGTAAGTCACATGATTTTTAAATACTGCATGATTTGAACACTGGCTCACAAAAGTTCCTGCTCTCACAAATCTGTACCAGCCAACTCCAGCACATCCCTGAGCCTGGAATTTGCAGGACCAAGACATCCTGACTGTGGTCTAGAACAAGGCCTCACCTTCCCCTCTCTCTCTGTTCCATGCAGATCAGCAAACAGCAGCTGCAGACTGTCAAAGACCGGTTTCAGGCTTTCCTGAATGGGGAAACGCAGATCGTGGCTGACGAAGCCTTCATGAACGCCGTCCAGAGTTACTACGAGGTAAGAATCATCACGCGTGAGCAGGCCAGGACTGCCCCAGCTCAATGCTGGTATTCTGAGCTATTGGTCGGTGGGAACAACAGCATTGGGTTGTACAGGACTATCCCTCCTAAGACTTGGTTCCAGTGTTGAGGAATGACTACATATTGCAATGGGGAAAACACTTGTCTTCCAGCTGATTCTTAGAGTAGGCAATCTGTTGAGCGTACCTTAAGAGTTAGATCCTGTTCATATTCCAATTTTTGCTGCTGCAGAGGCTAATGCTCAAAGAGATTAATTGGTCAAGGTCACACAGATGCTAAATGTTAAGACCTGAGTTATAGCCATCTCTAAGGGATGTGAGCGCTTCCCAACAAATGTGGCCTCACTAGCTTACTTAGTCTATAAAAATGCTGCTGTAGATTCTTTTCTGGAGGTTACACTTCTGTCCAAATTGAGTATTCACCTTCTGCAAAGGAAAGAGCAGGTCCTGAGAACATGTCATCGATAGTTAGAAGTCATAGGTAGAACTTGGTGGTTTATTTGTCAGTAAACTGGATTTGGAATTCCACAAGTATTTGTAGATTCTTCAGCATCCTTTCTCAATGTGTATATTGTCTCTTGTCTGTGCAGCATTCATGAAGTAGACATATCTTCCTTTGCAGTGTTTTCTTTTTAAATTTTACTTATTATTTGAGGGGCAATGTTACAGAGAGGGGGAGAAACAGAGACCTTTCATCTGTTGGTTCACACCTCACATGGCCACAAAGGCCAGAGCTGGGCCAGGCCAAAGCCCACATGAGTGCTGGAGCCCAAAGACTTGGGCCATCTTTTGCTGTTTTACCAGGCACATGAGCAGGGAGCTAGATTGAAAGCAGAGCAGCCAAGAGGACTCAAACTAACACCTGCATGGGATGCCAGCATTGCAGGCCACTGCTTAACCTGTTACACCACAATGCCTGCTCCCTTCAAGAATGATTATCTGTTCTTTGAAAAAAAACTATATTAATCCATTTTCTTGTAGGGCAGATAAACATTGTCTGTATTTGGAATCCAGATGTTTTATCCATTATCAAGGCTGGATTAAAGCCCCTACAAAGCAGTTCCTAAGCACTGGAATCTCATCCATCCTGCTATATGCAGTCTGAAGTACTGAGGCTCAGCTCTGAAGGAGGGGAATCCAGCACAGTCGGATTTCCTGGGAACTCTTCACCCATTGTCTTTGCTCCTTCATTCATTTCTTAAATTATTCAGCAGCAAATGATTTCAAAACAAGCATGTTGGTGTTTCTGCTTAGCTGGTGCTCAAGCCACATATAGGGATGCTTCAGAAAGCTTGTGGAAAACTGGAACTAAAGAATGTTAATTTTGTTGCAAAAAAATTTGAAATGCATGCAATTGTTCATAATACACATTTTCCTTGGATTTTTTTTTTTTTTTTTTTGAGACCCCTTTGTACTTGGTCTGCACCTTGGGCTCTCCAGCCCACCATAGATGCTTTGAATATGTTAATTGTAGCCTTTGTGCAGAGGTGGTGACTAAGTAACACAGTCATTCCTGTTTGCAAAAGTAATTGACTCCTTTTTTATCATGGGGACAGTGGAACAAAATGTCAATGAAAATTTTTTGCTTTGCCATTTTCATTTTATAGTAAAGAGCCTTTGTGACATTTGTTAGTCCAACCATAGATTCACTGTTTTGAAGAAAATATTTTTGTATGTATGTATGTATTTTTTAAAGATTTTATTTATTTGAAAGTCAAGAGTTACACAGAGAGAGGAGAGGCAGAGAGAATGAGAGATCTTCCATACACTGGTTCACTCCTTAAATGGCCACAATGGCCGGAGCTGGGCTGATCTGAAGCCAGGAGCCAGGAGCTTCTTCTGGGTCTCCCATGTGGGTACAGGGGCCCAAGGACCTGGGCCATCTTCTACTGCTCTCCCAGGGCATAGCAGAGAGCTGGATCGGAAGAGGAGCAGCCAAGACTAGAACCGGCATGCTGACACTTTAGGCCAGGGCGTTAACCCACTGCACCACCGCGCTGGCCCCATGTATTCATTTATTTATTCATTTATTTGAAAGAGTGACAGAGAGAGAGGGGGAGATAGAGAGATCTTTCATTCATTGGTTCATTCCCCAAAATGGCTGTAATGCCCAGGACTGATTGAGGCTGATGCCAGGAACCCAGAAATTCATCTGGGTCTCCCATGTGGGTGGAAGGGGCCCAAATACTTGGGCCATCTTCTCCTGTTTTCCCAGGCACATTAGCAAGGAGCCAAATCAAATGCAGAGTAACCTGGACCCAAACCAGCACTCTGATTAGAAATCCTAGCATCCTAAGCAGCAACTTAACCTTGGACATCACAACATAGGCCCCTTAGACTCCTGTCATACACTATTTTCCCGATGAAATTCCTGATGGATCTGCTTTACTTGTCAAGTTCGTTTTCATGGTTGTCCAAATATAAGCATTTTTAAATTTTGCAAATAACACCCATTATTGCCAATGAGCATCACACATGCTGCTTGATCTGATGAGATACAATTTTTCAGCTGAATTCCACGCAGAGGAGAAATGAGATTTGGAATCAAAGTGATACATGGCAGCAAATGACTTGAATATGCTTAACAAAAAAATTTTGTTAAGAAGCCGCCTGGGGAATGTGGTTAATATCCCCCATTTTTCAACTTTTGAAAGCTGATGGGAGAGTAATGAGAGAACCCTTGTCAGAGCAGGCAGACCCTTCTCAATAGTACTCCATGTTTAGAGTCATTCACCAGAATTTATAAATTTGTAGATTGCAAATCTTAATTAGAAAGCTCATTTGACTAATGATATAAATTAAAAGAAAGTACCATTTCTACCTATTAATTAAATTTGAAAATTGATAGTCATCAGTGTGTTAATGAGTGCCTGGGAATTGCCATTTTGTGTGTAGGGATTCTGATATTGGCTAGTTTATTGGGAAGGAGTTGGTTTTAGTCCAGTGAGGATGCTGAGTGTTTGATGTGAGGGTTTCAATGACCTAGGCAAGAAGCTGTGCTGTGGGTGAGGCACCTACTGTCTTCATCATTGCACCTTCAGAACGTCTTAGGTTCACTTTGCCAGGGAGGTCGAATCCTCTGAAGCAAAGACCTTCAATCCAGGAATCAGGACTAATGTTTTCCTGGTGAACCCACCAAGTGAAAGAGATCTTCCTCGCTGTGATGTCAGTCACCTGGCTGTGATGTCAGTCACCTCTCTGATATCATTCAACTACGGTGGAGAAGCCACTGGCTCTTCTTTCCCCCTCTGTGTATCCCTGGGAGCCTCTCTGTTGGTCATGACTCATGGTATTACAGGGGACAGACAACTAATTCAAATTGGCTCAAGCCTCACAAGAAATTTATTTCCTCAAGTAACTTAACATTCCAGGAATGGGATCCATGGCTGGATCCAGAGACTCCGAAGGCTCCAGCAGGATGTTCAATTTCCCCCATACTTGCACTCTGCTCTTCTCTGTTTTGGCTTTGTTTTGGGGCACGTTCTCTCCCTGCAGCAGGCACTATCAGAGGAGAGAGAGAAAGAGAGAGGAAGAGGGTGAGGGAGAGAGAGAATGCTGAGAAGCTCAGCCAAGGCCTCAGGATGACTTGGTTGGGCTGACATGGGCCGTGTGTCTGTCCTGGAGCCAGCACAATAGAAGGGAATAGAGGCCGCCGCCGTGGCTCACTAGGCTAATCCTCCGCCTTGCGGCGCCGGCACACCGGGTTCTAGTCCCGGTCAGGGCGCCGGATTCTGTCCCGGTTGCCCCTCTTCCAGGCCAGCTCTCTGCTGTGGCCAGGGAGTGCAGTGGAGGGGATGGCCCAAGTGCTTGGACCCTGCACCCCATGGGAGACCAGGAAAAGCACCTGGCTCCTGCCTTCGGATCAGTGCAGTGCGCCGGCTGAGGTGTGGCGGCCATTGGAGGGTGAACCAACAGCAAAGGAAGACCTTTCTCTCTCTCTCTCTCACTGTCCACTCTGCCTGTCAAAAAAAAAAGGGGGGGGGGGCTGGGAATAGAGGACCAAAGAGTTAAAACCTGGGACTAATGCTACTGTGGTACCTGAGTAGAGGATCAGCCCAGTGGAGCCATTTGCAGTGAAAGTGAAATGATTTCCCAATAAGAAGTTAGGGTGCTTTTTACCAAAGTAAGGGAAATGTAGGTTTGGCAGACAAAACTAAGATATGCTCCTTCTCAGTTTTCTCCCTCTCTCTGACACACACATTAGCACTCACACACATACGCATGTTCTACCCCACAACTACTTAGTGGCCTTGAACCAGGAGGATAACAACCCATTCTCAAAGCATTGGTTCCAAGGCGGAAAGCCAGGCGAGGAAGGGGCAGATGGCAGCATGATTCAGAGGATGAGCTCAGTGTCCGACAGGTGGGGCTGAATTCTAGTTCTGCTGCATGCTGGCTGTGGGACCTTGGCTGGGGCTGAACCACCACCCACTGTGCCACAACACTGGCTCCTTTGGTATATGTCTGGGCAGTTACCATGCATATACACACATAAAGATACTGGATTTCTATATTGAGGTAGAAAACCACTACAAGGATGGCCCACTTTTTTTATTTAGTGCAGTTGTCAGTCACCTTCCTACTGCTCCAGAAATCACACATATGACACACTCTCACACTTACTCACACACCTTGTCACTAGGGTGTCCTCGGTCCAGGACCGTGCTCCAGTCCACCAGCCACACCTCACCCTTAACATGGGAAGGCTCTTGTTTAACAATGTGTCAAGGAAGAAAAATGTACTTTTAGATCTTTTATTTGTTTAAAAGGCAGAGCAGCAGACAGAGGAAAAGAGAATTCCATCCACTGGTTCAATAGCTGAGGCTGGGCCTGGCCAAAGCCAGGAGACTGGAATTCAATCCAGGTCTTCCACATGGGTGAAGGAACCCAGCTACCTTAGCCATCACCTGCTGCCTCCTATGCTGCGCGTTAGCAGGAAGCTGGGTCAGAAGCTGTTTTGGGGACTGAACCTAGAACTCCAGTATGGGATACAGGCATCCCAAGTGGCAGTTCAACCCACTGTGCCACATGCCTGTCCCCAAAATGTCTTTTCGGTGACTACATGGTATAAAACAGCAGCTCCCTTTTATCACATGCATGCCCTATAGTCAGCAACATGCCAGTTGGTATGCATAATCACATTGGATCCTTACCAAGGTCCTACAAGCTAAGATTGTTACGGTCCCGTTTTAAAGGGAAGACAGTACAGCTCAGGCAGCTTACGTTGTTCCAGTGACAAAGGTTGCAGGCTGTAGAGCTAGGATTTGAACCCAGGTGCTCTGACATCAGCACACATGCTGATGTGGCTACATACAAAGTGGCTATTCCTTCTGTGATTTTTGTACCATTTGTTATTAGCCATCAGGTTTGTCTGAGTTTCTTTTTCCTCTTATTTTCTCTAGCATCTAGGGTTTTTTCTTATGTACTTGGGAACAAGATGCTTTTTCAGAGCGGGAAATTTTCTGTCTTGGCTTCTCAGCCTATCGGCAAAACAGGGGACCTGAATCAGCCTCACCCTGTAACATGTGCAGCCACCAGGTTCCAAAGGGTTTCAGAAACAACTTGAGGTGGGTTGGCTGTGGTCATGGAGGGAAGGGCTGATGGATGAGGTCAGCTGTTGGATTGACTTTGCCTTTCACAATCCCATATTTGTTGGTTTATCTCCCGTCTCTCGTTATGACCTGTCTGGAAGTTGGCAAAGAAGAGACGATTTATGGACATGCCTGCATGGAACTGCGCCTGGGGTTGCAGTCTCTTGTGACAGACCCTGAACAACAAAAACAGAAACAAACAAACAAAAAAATACAGATGGGAGCTCCCAGCACAGATGATTTGCAATGGCTGCTCAGGAGATACATAAGCACTTAGTGTCTGGATTCATTACAGAATGAGTCTGGCCCTGGCCTCCATTCCTGTTTTGACAGATGAGACGCCAAGACTGATGATGTGCCTGGAAAATTAGCTTCCTGCTGCCACCTTCTCTCCACATGGCTTTCTTGCCTCCTTTTAGTCCTTCCTCTTTGCTCAAGCATTGGCCTCCTTCCTCCGCAGTCTTCACATCCCACTCATCTCCCATTCTTCCTGGGGCCTGGGAGTCATAGCTTCCCTCCGGATCAAGCCATCTGCCCAAAGTCTTCTCCGTTTGATCCTCATCAAAGAAAGAAGGTTGGATTAACCTCATGTTAGTGTTAGGGTTAGGGAGGTTAAGTAGTTTATCTAAGATTATCCATTGCTAGATAGATCAATATTTATTGAATGGCTGCTATGTGGGAAGCAGGTAACATGTCCAGGATTCATGGGTCACCTAGGCAGGTATGGACACCAGCTGGAGCTACAATGCCAGCATCCTATTTCTTACCTCTTCTTTTCAGCTCCTATAGAACATTTAGCCTAAGTCACATGTTTTTGAGAGACCAGTATATTGTACCTGCTGGTTTTACCTTTTTATCTTTATCCAGACAGTTTTACCCAGTAGGGTCTCTGCCAGGGCAGTTGGCTTTGTTCTTATCATCCACATATGCACTAGCAAATCCTTGCTGAACTATGTGCCAGACAGCTATGTGCCAGAAACGATCTTAGGCACTAAGAAGAAGTATTAGAAAAAAAAATACAGATACATCCCTGCGTTCCTGCAATATATAGTCTAGCTGGAGATTCAGATGTTTTCAAAAGTCACAAGAACAGGCCGGCGCCGCAGCTCAATAGGCCAATCCTCCGCCTTGCGGCGCCCGCACACCGGGTTCTAGTCCCGGTCAGGGCGCCGGATTCTGTCCCGGTTGCCCCTCTTCCAGGCCAGCTCTCTGCTGTGGCCCGGGAGTGCAGTGGAGGATGGCCCAAGTGCTTGGGCCCTGCACCCCATGGGAGACCAGGAGAAGCACCTGGCTCCTGCCTTCGGATCAGCACAGTGCAGCTGGAGCACTGCGGCCATCGGAGGGTGAACCAACAGCAAAGGAAGATCTTTCTCTCTGTCTCTCTCTCTCACTGTCCACTCTGCCTGTGGAAAAAAAAAGTCACAAGAACAAGGACAAAAGGCAGCTTTGGAAGAGAAGAATAAAACAGTTTATAACTGGGGCACACTCCAGCTTTTTGGGACACTGGTGTGGACAGATGTGGATAGAGTGTAGCTCCATTGTAGACTGAGAATTTCTGAGTCACCCCTGATGTTCATGAGAGCTGACAGCGAAGAATTCACCTCTTTGCCTCCCCCCACCATCAACATCGTTTACTTGTCCTCCTACAAGTTCCTCTTCACCTGCCTCCCTGCCTATTCTCTGACACTTTCCCATAATAACAACAGAGAATATGAACTTACCTGTGCCCTGTCCCAGCTTAAAACCAATTGTGGCTTCACAGTGCCCTTAAAATGCAGACCAACAGCCTGAATGCCTCCTCCCATGCCCTTGGCCAGCTGGCCTTTCCCACCTACCTCTATCAGTCACTCCACGTCTTATTGCCACAGTCATGTTGGCTTCTCCCAATTTCCTCAGGCCCTCTGGGTCTTTTCACACATAGCTTCTTCTCCTTGAACTGCAGTTTGACTTAACTCTCTACCTATCCATCTTTCATGCATGATGTCAACGGTGTTGCCTTTCAGGAGGGCTTCCTTGATCACATAATTGAATAGATTCTTGGGTATAGGCACACTTGGATTCCAGTACTTCCATGGACAGCACTTATTCTAGATTGTAATTCTCTTTGTATGTGACTATTAGGATGATGTCTTTTGAATTCCATGAGAACTGAATCTCTGTTTCCCCCGCCATTGTATCCCTGGCCCCTAGCACCGGGTCTTCTACTTAGTATGTATACATATGGGATCATGAAGAAGATTATAAACATTGCAACCAGAAAGGCCATGCCCAACATCTTGTGGTTTGACTTCCTCAGCAGACAGAGCAGCAGTTGGAGAATCAGAGAGGGAAGGTGACTCAACCAAGATCAGAAGGCAAGTTTGTGGCAGAGCTTGCCTGGGATCATGGTTGACAGCTCCTGCCATGATGCTCCGTGCCTGTCTAGTCATTCACTCCATCTGCCTCAAAACGTTGGTGTTCTCTGAGATTCAGACCCATAGGTTAGGCTACTATGGTGTTAGATGTAGAAATCATCCACATTAGAATTTACTTTTGCTCAGGGAAATTCTTTAGCTCCTTAAAGTTCATGAAGTCTGAGGAGTCACTTGAAACTTTTCTTCTGTAAGTGATTTTTCAAATGAACATTAAGGTCTCAACTAAGTAGCAGTTCCCAGTGGTAGGGAATAGGCCACAGTCTATGCTATGAACCAGAGCCTCTGCTCTCCTTTCCAGATTAGTTCATTAAGTCAACAGCCAATGGAGGACAAGTTTTAAACATCTCTCCACCCCAAGAGTGGCTTGTGGTTGAAGCCCAAGGCAATGAGATGTCCCCGAGGTGCCCAGGCTATGCCATCTCACAGTCAACAAGGGCATCCCCCCAAGTCTGACAGGGGAATGAACAACTACTTTGCCTCTTGAGGGATGTTGATGCATCTTTTGAAGTGTAGCGAGGACCCAGCTCAGAAGTGTCAGATGTTTGGTTTCTCTCTATGACTGGGAAGCAGCAGCTTCCCTGCCTTGCCTTGTACTCCAGAGCCATGTAGTCTGTGTAAACTTCCACATGGTAGGCAGTGGAATGGAAGTGATGTATTCTCAATAGATGGTATGGTCCCAGGCCTCAGGCAGAGCAAATAAAACAACCAAGGGTTCTCCTCCCGTTGGAGGAGCCCCTCGGGGAAGGAAGTAATCAGGGTGAAGTGCAAGACCATGCATTTGTAGTGGGACCTTTGAGTTAACAAATGCAAGTCCCCTCTGCTTTCTGGAGTCTTGGTTTTCTCCATCTACAAAACAAAGTTAACATACACCCATGTTCATGGTTAATTCACTTTCCAAGTGCCAGGTGCTATACTCAGGATGGGAGGTACTGTGGGAAACAAGGACGTAGTTCTTGCCCATGTAGAATTTGTAATTCAGAAAGTGTAAACCCATTTTACTGGATACTTCATAATATCATTATTGGGATTACTTGCTTATTGTTGGGTTGCAAAATGAGATGCAAACAGTGAATACTAGTCAAGTGCTGCATGATAGACATCAGAGCAAGTGTTTTCCATATAATAACAACTCATGCGGTCCTTCATGTAAGTCAGGCACTGCTTGGAGTGCTTTTCATGTAGTAACTCATCTTACAGTACCCACAGTCTAGGGGCTGTTACGATCCTCATTTATAGGCAGGAGCACTGAGGCACACCGTGGATAATTTGACAGGAATCACACAGCTATTAATTGGCAGATAAACAACCCATGTGTCCTGAGCCCAGGGTCTGTATTTTCTACCTACTCTCATGAAGTAGCAATCTCATGTAATCCTTGTGGTTACCCAGTTAATACGTTTGTCCTTCCTTATCCATGATGCTATTTCCTTATAGCATATTGTTTTCATTGTTCTGTTTGATCAGTTATTGTCATTAAACTGTGACTATGCCTAATTAATTAAACTTCATCATAGATGGATATGTACTGGAAAAAATATACAGCATGTATGAAATTGGGTAACACCCGTGTCTTCATACATCCACCGGAAGTCACGGAACATGTCTCTCACAGAAGGGGGGTGGTAACCGTATGTTGATTATTCTCATTTTACACATCCGGACATAGAAGCAGAACATGTAAGTGACTGGTTTGAGTCTGCACAGCAAGAAGAGGTGGCACAGGATGTGATCCATCACACAGGATGTGCCTCTGTAGTCAACAGGAGAGCTTGACTTAGTACCTGGACCCATGGAACTGATCCTTCCGTGGCTGACTGTGTGTCTTTCCCGTTCGTGCACAGGTGTTCCTGAAGAGCGACCGTGTAGCCCGCATGGTCCAGAGTGGGGGCTGCTCTGCCAATGACTCACGGGAGGTCTTTAAGAAGCACATTGAGAAGCGGGTGCGCAGCCTGCCTGAGATTGACGGCCTCAGCAAGGAGACTGTGCTAAGTTCTTGGATGGCCAAATTTGATGCCATCTACCGTGGGGAGGAGGACCCCAGAAAGCAGCAGGCCCGGATGACGGCCAGCGCAGCCTCTGAGCTGATTCTGAGCAAGGAGCAACTCTACGAGATGTTCCAGAACATTCTTGGGATCAAGAAGTTTGAACATCAGCTCTTGTACAATGCCTGTCAGGTAAGGGGTCTGTGACATGGTTTTTCTCACCTGTGGGTTAGCAAGTCTGCCTTGTGACTTCTGTGGGCCACTTGATTAAAATACACACACACAGTCATATAGAAAGTATATTTTCTTGCTGATTGGTTAAAAGGTTAATATACTCCAGACTAGATTATGTTGATGCTTTTCTTCTGATTTTAAAAGAAATTGAAATATTGTTCATGAACTCTTAAATAAGTCTTTATTGGGCCTTGGTACTGAGCTCATTTTATCTAATAGACAAGTTGATTCCTGTCCACCAGAAGTGCTAGAAATCAAAATATTAGTATTTTAAAAATTATGGTTCTGCTTTTAAAATAGACAAAGTGTGTATTAGTTCATGAGCCTGCTATTCTTCACCTTAGGAGACAGCTGAACCTAATTGACAATTATGATTTTAAATAGACAGCTTGCATAAGCCTGAGTTTAATCATACTGGTGTCTTATTCGCCCATATCGTGTGAATTTCAGCAGGGTCTACAGGAAAGAACTGAGGCTTTATTGGGACTACTCCAAATGGCCTGTGTTTCCTCTGCAGCAAAAGCTTGCGGGGAGAGGGGTTATCTAGCCTGGATCTTGAGTTCCTGCCTGCCTTTACCATCATATTCATTCATTCAACAAGAACCTACGTTGTGGACTTTGAAAGTTTTAGTATAACTTGGGAGCTTTTTAAATTATTTACCTGTTCTTTAGGTTATTGGATATAGCCACATCTAAAGCTTCCTTTTATGTGATTTCATTAAGTCTATTCACTCTACTTTAATAGTATGACTCTACTTGTCATCTTAGTAACTTGTAAGCTAGTTTTTTTTAATTATGAAAACAGCATTATCTAGACATTAGACTTATTTTAACATGTGTCATAAGTTCATGCATTCACTTTTCTGTTCATTATTGTTATTTTTCCCAGAAATCTTTTATTTAAGTTATACAAACTTTATGCATTTCATAAATACAATTTTAGGAACATGGTGATTCTTCCCACCCCACCTGCCCTCCTATCCTTCTTCCTCCTCCCTCAACTATTCCCATTCCTATTGTTTACTAACATCTGTTTTCAATTAACTTTATACATATAAGATTAACACTATACTAAGCAAAGAGTTCAACAGATAGTATGAGAAAAACTGTTCTCAACTGTGGGAACATTTTTTTAGTGTGGTTTCCCACCTTATGTTATATAGTATTATATCACCACTGTTAGATTTGCATCACAGCCTCGATTATTATTTTCTACTGCCTAATGATTTATTTTCATCTCTTTACTGTCAGTCCCAACCTCCCCGCTTAGCCTTAGGGTGGTGGAAAAATTACCTATGCCAGTTCCTCAATATTCCCAATGTAGGAAATAATTCTTTGACACTTAATAAGTGCTCCATAAGTGTTCGTTGACTCCATACATGGATAATGGTGAATTATTTTGATTAGTAGCAGTAGATGCAGTCTTGTCATAAACTGTTGTATCTCACAGAGTTCTGGAGGTTTTAGTAAATAGGAGTATGTTAAGCATACCACAATATGCTACATACATGACATTCAAAGATATTCTGAAATCTTATTTTCTTCTCAGCCAAATTCAGTTCAGAATGCTGATTGCCAGCCCAGAGGGAGAGAGATTTGTTGGAGGAGTCAAGGAGTTTGAAATCTGAGTCCTCGCATAAAGTGAAACTTAATTATTCTTATTTAAAATAGTTCTGCATCCCATGTGGCATTTTTAGAGTGGGGTAGGCAGGTGGCATTAGACTCCTCCACCACCTTCTCCATCACAATAAGGTATCATACCTTCAAAGGGAGTGACAGTCATCCACCTTGGTTATAAGCAAGATTCAATATTACAGTTCCTAAGCCTGGATTTTGGTTAGCTTTTTATTACTTTAACCAAAATAACTTTGAAAAGTTCTTGGGAAGGAAGAGGCTTATTTCAGCTTACAGTTTGGCAGCTCACAGTCCACGATCAGGCTGTCTGATTGGTCTGGTGTCTGGAAGCTGACACTGGCAGAGTGTATAGAGGGAAAGTCGCCTGGTGAGCCAGCAAGAAGAGACACACAGGAAGCAGCCTTTTCTACCTTGTCGTCTCACCTTGTAAAGCCATTGTTTGATCATGAGGCTCTACCCTACAAGTTAGTCCAATCCAGTCACTTCCCAGAGGCCCCACCTTCAGCTGCCATAATTAGAACAAAGCTCTACCCCAATCCATCAACCATTCGTATTAATCTTTTACTCTTGGATTAGTCTTTGGGATTGAAGCATGTGCTAGAATTTGAGGAGCCAAATCCTACCCACTCCTTAAGAGCCTGCTAGGCACAAAATTATTCTAGGGTTTAATTTTTCAATCATACTAGCTTATTGAGCATATTTTCTGTACTTGCTCAGTATCAGCATCATTGCAATAAACCCATTGCTGTGAATAGAGTTGAATTGCAGAACACCTTTCTCTTAAGAAATTAATTAATTTTTATTCATTTGATCTTCACCATCTTTTCCATGAGTTAGAATAAAGTAGAATAATATTAAAAAGTAAAATCCTCTCTCCCCTGGGTGGTAGTAGTTCCCATAACCAAAAGAGAATTGGAAGAAAGAAAGGAAAGTACTTCTTGGGACAAAGATATTTAAGTCATTTAGTATTTAATCTCTTAACTCAATCCAGTTATTCTTCCAGGGTTTCATATCATCAGCAATTAAGGGAAAGGATATACAAGAGTAATTTCACAAAAGGAAAAATTCAAGTGAAAATATGTAATTTTTTTTTGGTTTTTTTGTTTTGTTTTGTTTTGTTTTGACAGGCAGAGTGGACAGTGAGAGAGAGAGACAGAGAGAGAAAGGTCTTCCTTTGCCGTTGGATCACCCTCCAATGGCCGCCGCTGCAGCCGGCGCACCGCGCTGATCCGATGGCAGGAGCCAGGATCCAGGTGCTTTTCCTGGTCTCCCATGGGGTGCAGGGCCCAAGCACCTGGGCCATCCTCCACTGCACTCCCTGGCCATAACAGAGAGCTGGCCTGGAAGAGGGGCAACCGGGACAGAATCCGGGGCCCCAACCGGGACTAGAACCCGGTGTGCCAGCGCCGCAAGGTGGAGGATTAGCCTATTGAGCCACGGCGCCGGCTCGAAAATATGTAATTTTAAAGTGAATAAAGTATGATTTTCTTCATTGTATAAATATGTAAATATGCAAGTCTGATTTTTCTTCACTAATCTATGAATGTGTTGGTAATTGATAGAAATATTTTAAGAGAAGAAAGGTAACACTGGTGATGAAGATATATCACAAATTTTGTAGAAATGCATATTCTCATACCCTACTGTTGGAATAGTTTTTATTATAACTTTTCTGTCACTTGTTAATTTGCTGCAAAACACTTTTATAATGGGCAAACCATTTGAACTAGCTGCTGCTCCTCTAGAAATTTGTTCTAAATAAATGCTCAGTATTTATTCAAGAGTCTAAATTCCAGAGATGTTCATTGCAACCTTTAATATGCAGTGAAAAGCTGGAACCAGGAATTAATTAATCAGATTTTGATTTAACCACATGACAGAATAATCTTCATCCTACCGAAGAGGTGTTGAAGAGAAAAGCCTACTGCTTTGTGGGAAAATGTACACTAGTTTTGCTAAGTGGAAAATCTGGCTATGAAACAGAATATATGAGTACAGCTCTATTTTTGGGGGGAGAAGGGTATAAAAGGACCCCACAAAATTTTAACTGTGCTTTTCTTTAGGGGATAGCTTTATGGTTGATTTTTATGGTTTTCATCAGTGTTTTTCTGTGTCTCCAAATTTTCTGCCTTGAGCATATAGTTATGTTATAAATAGGAACAAATATCAAAAATCTCAATGATGAAATAATAGAAACAGCAAAATAACAAAAATTTATCTTCTGAATGGTTTTCTAGACTTCAGCTGTGAACATGCCACTTTTATGACTTTTACCATTTCTGAGTACCACCTGCTTGATTATGTCTATAATATTTTTATTAAAACAACTCTGCTCAACTTTTTAAAGCCATCATATCTTCACAAGTAAAACTGTATGAAATCACAGCTAGGATGTACTAGTGGTTGTTTTTTTTTTTTTTTACCTTTTATTTAATGAATATAAATTTCCAAAGTACAACTTATGGATTACAATGGCTTCCCCCCACCATAATGTCCCTTCCACCCACTTCCTCTCCCATTCCATTCACATCAAGATTCATTTTCAATTATCTTTATATACAGAAGATCGATTTAGTATATATTACGCAAAGATTTCATCAGTTTGCACCCACACAGAAACACAAAGTGTAAAATACTGTTTCAGTACTAGTTATAGCATTAATTTACATTGGACAACACATTAAGGACAGAGATCCCACATAAGGAGTAAGTACACAGTGACTCCTGTTGTTGACTTAACAATGTGACACTCTTGTTTGTGGTGTCAGTAATCTCCTTAGGCTGTAGTTATGAGTTGCCAAGGCTATGGAAGCCTTTTGAGTTCCCCAACTCCAGTCTTAGTTAGACAAGGTCATAGTCAAAGTGGAGGTTCACTTCTCCCTTCAGAAAAAGGTACCTCCTTCCCTCCTTCTTTGATGGCCCATTCTTTCTACTGGAATCTCACTAGCAGAGATCTTAAATTTAGGTTTATTGTTTTTTTTGTTTTGTTTTGGTTTTTTTTTTTTTTTTTTTTTTTTTTTGGAGAGTGTCTTGGCTTTCCATGCCTAAAATACTCTCATGGGCTCTTCAGCCAGATCCAAATGCCTTAAGGGCTGACTCTGAGGCCAGAGTGCTGTTTAGGACATCTGCCATTCTATGAATCTGCTGTGTATCCCGCTTCCCATGTTGGATAATTCTCTCCCTTTTTTATTCTATCACTTAGTATTAGCAGACACTAGTCTTATTTGTGTGATCCCTTTGACTCTTAGACCTATCAGTATGACCAATTGTGAACTGAAATGGATCACTTGGACTAGTGAGATGGTATTGGCACATGCCACCTTGATGGGATTGTATTGGAATCCCCTGGCACATTTCTAACTCTGCCATTTGGGGCAAGTCCGACTGAGCATGTCCCAAATTGTACATCTCTTCCCTCTCTTATTCCCACTCTTATATTTAACAGGGATCACTTTTCAGTTAAATTTAAACACCTAAGAACAATTGTGTGTTAATTACAGAGTTCAATCAATAGTATTAACTAGAACAAAAAAAAATACTAAAAAGCATAAAGTATTACATTGTACATCAACAATCAGGACAAGGGCTGATCAAGTCACTGTTTCTCATAGTGTCCCTTTCACTTCAAAAGGTTTCCATTTTTGTGGTTGGTTAGTTGTCACCAATCAGGGAGAACATATGATATTTGTACCTTTGGGACTGGCTTAATTCACTCGGCATGATGTTTTCCAGATTCCTCCATTTTGTTGCAAATGACTGGGTTTCATTGTTCTTGACTGCTATATAGTATTCTATAGAGTACATGTCCCATAATTTCTTTATCCAGTCTACCGTTGATGGGCATTTGGGTTGATTCCAGGTCTTAGCTATTGTGAATTGAGCTGCAATAAACATTAAGGTACAGACAGCTTGTTTGTTTGCCATTTTAATTTCCTTTGGGTAAATTCCAAGGAGTGGGATGGCTGGGCTGTATGGTAGGGTTATATTCAGGTTTCTGAGGAATCTCCAGACTGACTTCCATAGTGGCTTTACCAGTTTGCATTCCCACCCACAGTGGATTAGTGTCCCTTTTTCCCCACATCCTCGCCAGCATCTGTTGTTGGTAGATTTCTGAATGTGAACCATTCTAACCGGGGTGGGTACAACCTCATTGTGGTTTTGATTTGCATTTCCCTGAATGCTAGTGATTTTTTTTTAATGAATCCAAGTAACAATTTTATTCTAGTCTACAGCACAATTTTTACATACATTTTAGTGGTTTTGACAATGTTACTTTTGAGCAAACTTCAAATGAATCCACAGAAAATTAATATATTAAACATGAAATATGCACAGTAAAACAACAGGCATCCAGATGTTCAGAATCATGCAGATAGGGGTGATCTGCTTGGTGTTGTCACCGGGTACCTTGCCTACTTAAGAATTCACCAGCAAATATCAGTTCATATGTTCTTCATTCCAAAGTAATTCTCCACAATCAGAGAGTTTTGAATATATACACACACAAAAAAAACCTTCTTTTAAAGCTACATCAGTACAAAATTATCAATTAATAAGCTTTATCATAAAACCAACAATTGCATTGATCAAGCCCATTCCTGGAAAATGGGTGATATCGGCACCCAATCTAAAGGCAAGGTTATTTCGTTTATTAAAACACCAAAAGAGAGATTAATCAATAAAACTGATATGTTAATCTTAATATAAGACACTGAGGGAAAACTCAAAATAATATATAAATATCACTCCACTGAGGCAGGACATAACCCATGTACTACAGACACAAGTTTCTACTAATCACACAATGCTTTAAATATTTTTTTATGAAAAAAAAAAATACAACCTATATTAGGAGATGCAGAGGAAAGGTAGAAATGTGGATTTACACATCTAGTTCCATAATTTAAAGTGAACATCAAACTGATAATATAAAGCTAAGTGACAATGACTTAACTGTTGGGCACCAAGCAGGCAATGCCACCATTCAGTGTAACTCATAATGCTCTTTAGGAGCCTTCAGCAGACGGCCAACTCCACAGCACTACCCTAACACAGACAGAATGTTCACCTGCTCTTAAAAGAGACCCTGAAGACAACATGGCAAAGGCATTGAGAGAAGTTGGATCTTTTGAAAAAGTTTTTTTTTTTTTTTTGACAGGCAGAGTGGACAGTGAGAGAGAGACAGAGAGAAAGGTCTTCCTTTTGCCGTTGGTTCACCCTCCAATGGCCGCCGCGGCCAGCGCGCTGCGGCCGGTGCACCGCGCTGATCCGATGGCAGGAGCCAGGAGCCAGGTGCTTTTCCTGGTCTCCCATGGGGTGCAGGGCCCAAGCACTTGGGCCATCCTCCACTGCACTCCCTGGCCACAGCAGAGAGCTGGCCTGGAAGAGGGGCAACCGGGACAGAATCCGGCGCCTCGACCGGGACTAGAACCCGGTGTGCCAGCGCCGCTAGGCGGAGGATTAGCCTAGTGAGCCACGGCGCCGGCCAGAAGTTAATGATATCAAAATACTTCTCCATCACTGGTAAACCAAACTAGGTCAAGTTTATGGCCCAAAGCAGCACTGAATTCAGAGTTAGAGGTTGGCAGAAAAGTTTGGAAAACTGCAGTTTTCAAAATTGGCAATATCTCCACACTTAATAAGACTATCAGAAGAGGTATAATGTTTGTTCGTCTGTGGAATGTAGACTGCTGCAAAAATTCACAACGTGAATGAGGAGCCGCAGAGATGCGCTTCAATGAAATATTTTTAAAAAATTTACAAAAAACTAAAAGTTTCTATTTAAAAAAGAACCATGTTATTCCAAGATGAAACATGGTAAAAGTAGTGTAAGTTCTGTCCATGATTCTTTACACACTGAATGGGAAAGTGATAGAAATAATTTTTTTTCTTAAAAAGGAAGCTTTGTTATTGCACTGACTTTAACAACCCGACCTAGTAATTTAGAAAAACCATGTAGTAAAATCTGTAAAATTAAAATACAAAATTCTGGTTTGTAAACATCAGTTGGCCAAGTCTATTCAGAGTCCTTCATGATAGTGGAATGGAATGGATAATTCACTATTTGCTGTGAGGGGGAAAATTCGAGAACACAGCTCTTCTATACTTTCACAGTAATTAATATTCAAAAGACATAAAGAAAGTCAGTGCAGTTGTCTTCTTCTTCCTCTCCCTGTGCAATTTTCAGCTCTTACCCCACTCCCAAGTGCCATCACTGAGATAATACTGGCTTGGAGACCCACTACACTCTGGTCATAAGTGTCGCACAAAGTCCGTAGGACTTCGGTAAAGGTACTTCCAAATGGCATAGTAATGCACCGCAGCTGCTGTGGCCACAAACAGGTGCCAGATGGCATGGACAAATGGAATGATGCCATCGCTCTTGAAGAACACAACTCCCAAGCAATAAATTAAGCCCCGACAGGCAAGTTCATGCAGTCCGTCGGTGTTAGTCATTGATGTCACCACCAAGGCCGGGGAGAATCCCATTGTGAGATAGAAAAAAGGCTCAACCACATTATACTTTTCATGGTAGAGAAACACATAAATTGTTCCTCCAGCTGCCATGAGCCAGATAAACCAACGCATATGAGATGCCAGGGGTCCAAGTTCACGGAGATTTAACCTCAAGTGGCTCTTTTTCCATGAGACGATGTGAAATACTGTGGAAACAATGAAGAGGGTACAGAGGCCCATGCCATAAATCCATGCTGTTATCTTTTCCCAGCAGTCGTCAGACAGTCGATGGAGGAGGGCACTGCCCACGATGGCCGGAACAATGAGGAATGCATGTGTGTAACAGTTAGCAGCGTGTTCATAGCAAGTCGGTTTGTAGCGGCCATTGGCGGGGGCTCGATGGTTCATGAACCGCTGGAATCGATTCTTGAATCGCATTGATCCTCTGCTCCTCCTCGGGGACCGGGAGCTCCATCTCGTCAGCAGCCGCGGCGGGGCGCGCGGCCCTCATGGGCTTCGGCTACTCCGGAGGCTGCCTGGGTGCCAGGCAGAGCCCTCGTCCGGGCAGGGCCAGAGTGGGGCCAGGCCGGGGGTCGAGACGCTGCCGGGGCCAGACCAGGTGGCTTGGGGGCGGGAGGGAGGCCACTTAAACGGCCCCAAAGCCTCCCGCCTCCCGCCTCCCTGGCTCCTCCGCCCCCGGGCGCCCCGCTAGTGATCTTGAACATTTTTTCATGTGTCTGTTGGCCATTTGGATTTCCTCTTTTGAAAAATGTCTATAGAGGTCCTTGGCCCATCTCTTAATTGGGTTGTTTGTTTTGTTCTTGTGGAGTTTCTTGATCTCTTTGTAGATTCTGGATATTAAACCTTTATCGGTCACATAGTTTGCAAATATTTTTTCCCATTCTGTCAGTTGCCTCTTCACTTTCCTGACTGTTTCTTTTGCAGTACAGAAACTTCTCAATTTGATGCAATCCCAAATGTTAATTTTGGCTTTGACTGCCTGTGCTTCCGGGGTCTTTTCCACGAAGTCTTTGCTGGTACCTATATCTTGCAGGGTTTCTCCAATGTTCTCTAATAATTTGATGGTGTCGGGTGATAGATTTAAGTCTTTAATCCATGTTGAGTGGATTTTTGTGTAAGGTGAAAGGTAGGGGTCTTGCTTCATGTTGCTTCTGCATTTGCATATCCAGTTTTGCAGCACCACTTATTGAATAAACTGTCCTTACTCCAGGGATTGGTTTTGGATCCTTGATCAAATATAAGTTGGCTGTAGATGTTAGGATCAATTTCTGATTATCTCAATAGATGCAGAGAAAGTATTTGATAAAATACAACACCCTTTCATGATGAAAACTCTAAGCAAACTGGGTATAGAAGGAACATTCCTCAATGCAATCAAAGCAATTTATGAAAAACCCATGGTCAGCATCCTACTGAATGGGGAAAAGTTGGAAGCATTTCCACTGAGATCGGTACCAGACAGGGATGCCCACTCTCACCACTGCTATTCAATATAGTTCTGGAAGTTTTAGCCAGAGCTATTAGGCAAGAAAAAGAAATTAAAGGGATACAAATTGGGAAGGAAGAACTCAAACTACCCCTCTTTGCAGATGATATGATTCTTTATTTAGGGGACCCAAAGAACTCTACTAAGAGACTATTGGAACTCATAGATGAGTTCGGCAAAGTAGCAGGATATAAAATCAATGCACAAAAATCAGCAACCTTTGTATACACAGGCAATGCCACGGCTGAGAAAGAACTTCTAAGATCAATCCCATTCACAATAGCTACAAAAACAATCAAATACCTTGGCAGCCGGTGCCGCGGCTCACTAGGCTAATCCTCCATCTTGCAGCGCCGGCACACCCGGTTCTAGTCCTGGTCGGGGCGCCGGATTCTGCCCCGGTTTCCCCTCTTCCAGTCCAGCCCTCTGCTGTGGCCTGGGAGTGCAGTGGAGGATGGCTCAGTGCTTGGGCCCTGTACCCCATGGGAGACCAGGAGAAGCATCTGGCTTCTGCCATTGGATCAGCACGGTGCGCCGGCCGCGGCAGCCATTGGAGGGTGAACCAACGGCAAAGGAAGACCTTTCTCTCTGTCTCTCTCTCACTGTCCATTCTGCCTGTAAAGAAAAAAAAAAAAACAACAACAACAAACCTTGGCATAAACTTAACCAAGGACATTAAAGATCTCTACGATGAGAATTACAAAATCTTAAAGAAAGAAATAGAAGAGGATACCAAAAAATGGAAAGATCTTCCATGCTCATGGATTGGAAGAATCAACATCATCAAAATGTCCATTCTCCCAAAAGCAATTTACAGATTCAATGTGATACCTATCAAAATACCAAAGACATTCTTCTCAGATCTGGAAAAAAAGATGCTTAAATTCATATGGAGACACAGGAGACCTCAAATAGCTAAAGCATTCTTGTACAACAAAAATAAAGCTGGAGGCATCACGATACCAGATTTCAGGACATCCTACAGGGCAGTTGTTATCAAAACAGCATGGTACTGGTACAGAAACAGATGGATAGACCAATGGAACAGAATAGAAACACCAGAAATCAATTATTTTTAAAATACATAGTCAAGTGAAACATAAGCATTGCCACAGGAACTCTTCAGCCCTTGGCCCTCTTAAACCATTGCACACCACCATGAATGTGTGCAATGCAGGCTAGAGGTAACTAGTTTGCTGACATAGGTTGATGGGACACAGCTCTCTGATGCCACTTCCCAAGATAGCCCAAGACTGATCAGAGCAGCTTTCACAGTAGTGTGCAGAGCCAGCAGCAGAGTAGAGATAACAATTTACATATACATTTTCCTCCCTTGACTTCGTTCACCAGCAGGATATATCTGGATAGGCAGGAGTAATACTGCACCTCTCACAGTCACACACTCAGGTGTCAGAAATTATAGATTTACTCACTTTTTCTCAAACTACTGTCAGGTCTGCAAATCTTACAGGAGCAACTTACAGGAGCAAGGATATGGGACTGAAATCATAATGCTTTCATCTTTAATCTACCTGAATTGTTTCTTGTCTGGCTTCGGATTTGCTGGGCCCTCTTTTCCTTAGTAGTCAAAGAAATTTCTAGGTGCATCTAGAAATGTGGATCCTGTTTTCCTGTTAGAAATATCATATTCTAGGAAAAGTGGTAATGTAATTCCTGTTGCTGTTTTCTGAAAATTCACAGGCTCCCTAATAGATTATGCCAGCAGCTGCCATTTTATCTCAAATGAGAACAGGCATTTGCCAAAGAACTATTATATCTGTTACATATCACTTGTCTTTTGTAACATGAACCATGTCCATCAAAATATAAGAATAAAGCAAGAAAGTTTGACTAATGTCTTTATATTTGCACATGGAATCTTTAAAAATTTGTTTTGTTTATTTAAGAATGTATGGGTCAGGCTAATAGAAAAAAGGTTGTTTATATTCATGTGATCTCCTTTGTAAAAATATCGGCAACTTTTTGTATGAAATCAATATTGTTATTATTCTTCAGAGACCTTTAAGAGAAAGCATTCTAATATATAGCTGTTTGTGAAGTTTGAGCTGAATTCCAAAACTAAAAAGTAAGGCAATCTCTTTGAGGATGGATTGCATCATCTGAGAAATAAGACTAGGACAGTTCTCTGTTCCATCTTCATGAAATGTAAAGATGATGATGATGATGATAATGATGTACAATCATCCCTTGGTATCCTTCGGGAGACTGGTTCCAGGACACTCCATCCCTCTTTGAATATCACAATCAGGAGATACTCAGATCCCTTATATAAAGTGGCATATTTGCAGATAACCTGCACAAGTCTTCCTGTATACATTAAATCATCTTTAGATCATGTAGAATACCTAATACAATGTAGTGCTATATAAATGGTAGTTGTATTCTCTGGGAAATGACATGAAAAAGAAGTTTTTTACCAGGAGTCTCAAAAAAGTGGAAAATGAATATTGTGACTAAGGCATGCATGAATTTCAAAATTTTTTTTCACCAAAATAACTTACCTCTTAATTCCATTTCTATGAACTTTATGAATTACCATCACCCATGTTCAGCCTGGACAGAATTCTTTTCCAATATTTTCAGTTGAAGGTTGAATCCTCAGGTATGGGATCCACAGGAAGAAAGCTGACCGTATTTAAAAATGTTTCTAAGATGCACCATCTCAGGACTGGTATTGTGGCACAGTGGGTTAAGCTGCTGCCTGCCATGCCAGCATCCCTTATTTGAGTTCCCATTTGAATCCTGGCTGTTTGCTTCTGACCCAGCTCTTTGTCAATGGTGCCTCGGAAGATAGTAGATGATGTCCCAAGTGCTTGGGTCTCTGCCACTCAAGTAGGATACCTGGATGGAGTTCTTGGCTCCTGGCTTCAGTGTAATCCAGACCTGGATGTTGTAGCCATTTGGAGAGTGAACCAGTGAGTGGAAGACTCTGTGTGTGTGTGTGTGTGTGTGTGTGTGTGTTTTAATTCAGTAAATAAATCATTTTTTTAAGATATACATTCTGTTTGCTCTCCCTTTATTGGCCTCCAAATTTAGTGTCAATTTGATGCCTGTTGAGTCAAGTATCTACTCCATCCTACACATCTGGTTAAGCATAAGCCTATCCTTAATTGTTTCCACTTAAAATTGTGTAGACATTTTCCCCTTAAAAACAACTGATAGAGGCATAGTGGGTAAAGCTACCTACAGGGATGCCAGTTTGTGTTCTGTCTGCTCCCCTTCTGCAGTGAAACGTGGCCCATGTGCTTGGGTCCCTGCACTTCTCTTGGGAGACCTAGAAGATGTTCCTGGTTCATAGCTTTGGTGTGGTCCAGTGCTAGCCATTGTGGCCATCTGAGAAGTGGACCAGCACATGGAAGATCTCTGTTTCTCCCTCTGTTTCTCTGTAACTTGGACTTGCAGAATAAATAAGTCTTAAAAAATAAATTGGAGGTACATATTGAAAAAGGCAACTCTAAATCTAAGGCAAAAAGAGATGGAAGGGGTAGAGGAAGGAGTATGAAGAGAGGGAGGGAGAGCAAAATGTTCCATCTGCTGCTTCATTCCCCAAAAGCCACAACAGCCAGAACTGGGTCATGCCAGGAGTGCTGTACTCAATCCAGGGCTCCCAAGTAGGTAGCAGACACACGAATACCTGAACCATCACCTCCTACTTTCCCAGGGTGTGCTTTGCCAGGAAGCTGCTGTCAGGAGGAGAGCCAGAACTCGAGGAAACCCAGGCATTCCAATGTGGGGTACAGGCATCCCGAGTGATGTCTTAACCCTTGGGCCGAATGCCCTCCTCTACGTCTTCATCTATTGTTATATGTAATTAAACGACTTAGTGAAGCTAGCCTGTAAATTTTGAAGGGATGTGAATGAGTATGAGCAAAAATAAGTCGGTTAGTTCCTTGTGTTACAATTGGGCTTTATGAAAATGTCATATTTTTGACATTTTTTGGTTGTGACATTACATAGCACACTCTTGAGTTTGTGGAGAACATCTGCAACCCGACTATACCCTCTGCAGCCATCGCTTGTGTCTGATGGGCAGCAGGGACAAGAAAGCTGCACCAGTTAATAGGAGATGACAGTGTTCTTTGCATTTCTGAATTTC